TTAGATATGGGTCAAATTATTTAGTATTATACAATTCAGAGAAAAGACGGCCCTGCAAAAAGTTCTGAGCATTGGTGATTTTAGCAACTTATGATTGGATTAGCAATGCAGACTGCTTAGGTTCACGGGTTAGTGCATGAGTAAAGCTGATCGTTTGTAGTATGCTCACTAAAAACACCTGTGGGCTGTACGTTCAACCATTTCAGCTATAAAAAAATACGGAGTTAGCAAACGAAAATAAAAAAATTCAATGCCATCAACAGATGGTGTTAGTTTTAATTATTGTATGTTAGTCGCAAAGCTATGTGCCACTCAAGACAATATAACTATACTATCAAACACAACGTCCTAATTGCGGAAAGTTATTGGAAGTTACCCTTGTATGTTCACGAATCACAAATTGGACAGGTTCAATACGTGAGCAATAAAGGAGAATGTGACGTCATCTCTGGCCCTCTGCACAAATATTGGAGCCAAGTCTGGCCTAATGTTTGTTTAACGCGGCTCATCTATTTGATTTGCAAAATCGTTTATTTGTATACAAGCCCAGCTGTAGTTGATTCGAACTGTGTTCTAAGACGTAGGGGATGCGATGAGTTCTGGCTTAATTTGGTTTTAGATTGGACCGTTAAGATTTAGGCTTACTGTGATGTGTCTACTTGGAAAATATTCGTACATGAAACCACTGCAATCTTTCTGACCCTCACGGGTTTATACACATGACTGATCACCGCTATGGTTTAGTATCGTGTTTATTAACAAAATTTTAAATGAAATTCTTAACACCCCTAACAGGACCACGCCTAAGTCTCACAACAAACAACACTCTGCTTGGTAATGTATTTGCCTAGAAATGCTAAATGCGTATTCATTTGTCTCTCTCTGTATACTCTCACTCAATAAACTCTTACTCCGATAGACCGGCGCACACGAATTAATTACAGTTGAAAAGGACAGGATGGTGTCTAGAACTAGACTTATGATATTATGCTCCTCATGCAGGCTAGTGTTGTTCTTTGTTCATTGACAAAAAATATTCAAGATTACTTTGTAATTATTTTTGTTTAGTCACTATAATATTTCTTTTAAAGTTTTCTATATTTAAGACTGCGCTCAGACTAGACATAATTATTTGATTAGGCCATATTGAAATATAAAATTAATTTTTGTATTATTTAAACAGAAAAATGTTTTGATGTTTTTCATCCGAATACATCCTCCTCCTTTATCTGAATACACTATGTTTTAATTAAATCATTTACGGTTTCATTTTATTTCATTTCATTCATTCATTTCACAATCGGAAGCTTCCTACCACTGACATGACAGTTTGTGTCTGAAAACATAACCCACTGAATTACCTTCATTTTATAGCATTAGGATTGATTTTTGACGTTTGTAAAAATAATAACTGCGACCATTCTGTACTTTAATACAATATTTAATGAATAACATTTAAATACCAAGCACTATGTATGTACGTATGTATGTGTATGTATTGTGTATACTATAAATTTATCTATATATTAATACGTGAAGCAAAAACTTTGTATCCCTTTTTACGAAAATTGCGCGGACGGAAGAGTTTGAAATTTCTCACACTTATAGAGAATATAGAGAAGGAGTGCACACAGATCTATTTTTTTTAAATATAGCATTAAAGATACATTAAATCAATAAAGAAAACATTACTCACACTACCATGTATTTGACACACACGTAAATGTATATATACTCTTTGTTTATTGTCAAACTTTAGTTAATGCTTAAAGTCTGTGGTCAAATTGAAAATAGGTTGAATATTGTTTATCTTTAATATTATTTGTCTATAGTGTAGTCTTGGCAAAATCTGTGATTATAGAAGTATACCTAATAATCTTTGACTACATAACCATAATAATGTTCAAACTTATGATTTCAATTAATTATAGTCGAATTTCGACTACTGCGGGACCACTAGTATGTGTACATCTATATTAAATTACAAATACATATAACTAGTCAGGTCATAAGTATTGTCACACCGTAAAAACTTTTCTTTTAGAATGCTGGCCACAAAAAAGTTTATTGAATTCGAATTTCGAATTGTTCATGAAAATAAAAATGTATATGTCGCCGCAACGATTTTTAGAATGTCGCCGCAACGATTTTTAGAAACTTGATTTTAAGTTTATTCATTATAAAATTATTGTTTAAATTATTTAATGACGAACAATGTCGAAATGTCAATGTCGTTAATAATTAGGCGATGTTTTACTACGAGGCCGAATTCCTTTAACTGCTTCCATTTTTATTAAAATGGTGGTAGTCACATTTGTGNAGCCTCATCCCAATTTGGAGTCACTCAAGACATCCTTGATTAAGGCAGCCGCCGATATTGACATGGACCTCGTTCGTGCTGCGATAGACGACTGGCCGCGCAGATTGAAGGCCTGTATTCAAAATCACGGAGGTCATTTTGAATAAAATTTAGTGTCATAAGAATCTATGTTTTGTTAAGTTCATTTTGGTATATGAATAGTTACATAATGAATAAACTTGTTTCAATTATTTTACATTAAACATGTGACAGAATTTATGACCTGACTAGGTATTTATATTTTGTGTATGTATATGTAATTTAATATTAATTTCATTGCACCTACCACTATTTACTCTGCACTACCTTTGGTTGACTAGTAGAAAATGCCTTAGTCATAAACTCCGCCAATGTAAATTTTACATGAAGTGTAATAAATAAACAAACAGCATCATAATTGAAAACCATGAATAAGTTATCAAACCACTCATTATTGATTTTTGGATTATTCATCTCGAGTTCTTAAAGCATAAATACTTTTGTACAATTGTAAGGACGGTCCCCAAGCTTGGCAGTCGAGAGTCAGCGGTTACTTCCAGAGTTCGAAACTTGACCTCAAAGTGAATAACAGTGAATGGTACTAGAGGTTCTTGTGGAGTTCAACGGATAATGCAAAATAGGCTTCTGGTTGTTGTAAGATGTTTTGCGGCCGGAATGTTAAGTTTGTGTTCATTATAAAGTTACGAAACAAGATCACTACGAGATGAAACGACGTTGTTTTGGGGGTTTTGAGGTTTTATCAGTACAGTAGGCGTATTTGCAGCGGCCTATATTTGCCACGTGCCACGTAACAATCTTGCGTTCCTGTTTGAAGAGTGAGACAGTCATCCACAATACAGACCAAACTTAGCGTCGTCGTGGCCTAAAGGATAAGACGTCCGGTGTATTCGTATGTAGCGATGCACCGGTGTTCGAATCCCGCAAGCGAGTACCATTTTTCTGATGAAATACGTACTTAATAAATGTTCACGACTGACTTCCACGGTGAAGGAATAACATCGTGTAATAAAAGTCAAACACGCAAAATTACAATTTGCGTAATCACTGGTGGTAGGACCTCTTGTGAGTCCGCACCTGTAGGTACCAGCACCCCGCCTATTTCTGCCGTGAAGCAGTAATGCGTGTCGGCTTGAAGGGTGGGGCAGCCGTTGTAACTATACTGAGACCATAGAGCTTCTATCTCAAGGTGGGTGGCGCATTTACGTTGTAAATGTCTATGGGCTCTAGAAACCACTTAACACCAGATGGGCTGTGAGCTCGTCCACCCATCTAAGCAATAAATAAAAAAAAATCGGTGGCATATCTCACGGAAGATGGCGGCGTCCACGTTGCGGTGTGGCTTATGGACTGCAGTGACTACTCTCTACCAGGTGAGCAGATAGATCGTTCATCCAGCTAAGCTATAAAAAAAACCTGAATAAATTTGTCAACTTGAATAATACAAATCAACGACCTACATTTTAAGTAGCCGGTTGTGAAATAATAAAGATCGCGTTCAACACTGACTGACACAAAAGAAAAATATTTTTAATGTGTCCGTGAATTGTTTGATTTGTATTTCGCTTGGAAACTTTTGTCGGGTTCAGCGAAGCGTTAACTAAAAGATAATGAAGTAAAACAACGAATAATTCTGAAATGCATATTGTATTGAATTTTAAAGTATCATCAAACAATACATTTTGAGTAATGAGAACACGATCTTAAGTCAAGTGTCATTTTCCTTAGCACATGTGAAAGCGAACGACTTTCATGGTTGACGAATCATATTATCTTTTATAAAAGAAACCTCGCGAAGATTAATTTCATAAGTTACACAATTTGTAACAGGAGAGCACATTGCGTACCTGCACGGCTGGCCCACAGAGTTTCAAATGTAATCAGAGCCGATATGTGAGAGATAAAAGGCAAAGATGTGGCGAGAATGGTGTTGTCTGTCTACCGCTGCACACGACTGTGGCTGCGCCGGGGCTTTAAAGACCAGTGCGGTACAAAAAAGGAATTGAAATCAACGCTTTGTTAAAAAATCAAACAACCTTAAAATTGTATATTTCGTTTATTATGTACCATTTAATTCCTGTAATATTTCATTTGACTTACTGAACAAAATGGTGTGTCCAAGACGTGTGATATATTTGATTGTTAGGGCGCAATTCACTGGCTAATTCTATACTAATTTTGTTTTGTTAAACAATCATTGGTATCTCGAGACTTTTATGAAAATAAACGTTGTCACAACAGATAATGGAATGATTTTAATAATGTATTATTATGAAGAAAATATACAATTCAGATCTGGTCATTTTTGCAAGACTGGCAAAGGCAAAGAGAAATGCTCATTTTTCTCTCATAGTTTCATAACTAATCACTGTATTTTTACAAATAAGATGTTATTCGACGTGTCTAATCACTCCCGGTGAATAGGACATAAACTATAATGTATACTGTTTTATTCACTACATCGAATTGCAGTGATTTTAATTACGATCAATGCAGATGACTAAAATTGCCTAAGTAAATGATGTGCTACGTAAAAAAATGGACGGAATAACAATTTATCTAAGTTACACGTTTTTGTGAAAAAGTAGTTAAACACCTTTGTGATTGAATTTCGCGTTCGTTTTAAATATAATGGGAAAAATAAATAAGCTACTTGCAGAGTTTAACCACTAAAATATTTCTATCATGTCTACTCGACAAATCTGAACAAAGTCTCAAACAAAGCGAGTACAAAACAATATTGCTTACCAGTTACATCATATTATCACTATTCTCCACATAGAATTTAATACTTTTACCAAAAAGCACAGGCTTCTTTAGAATATAGTACAAAATGTTTGTAGGTATTAATTTCTCTGACCAACGTCATAACTCTAAAATGAACTTTTTGCTACATCAGAAGAACGATATTGATATACGATGTTGATATAAACTATGTTGAGTTTGACCCCAGATATTGCTTATATTATTGGAGACCATCGATTACGTTCCTTACTATTTCCTAAGTACTAATTAGGAAGTATTTTTGGAATCTTTTTACTTTCGAGATTAATGTTGTTTAAGTTATTTTGTAGCTCTTAAATTTATCTTTCATTCATGGCTTCCAAATTCTCCATGTTCTGGCCGTTATCACTTAATATACTATCGATAATGTTATTGTCATCTTCTGCTTTAAGTAAATCATTATCTTTAATCATCTCTTGAGATAAATCTTCAAAACCGTTACTGGATTCTTCTAAGACATCCATTGCATCAGTTTCTTCTCTGTTAACTATTTCTTCTTCTTCCTCTTCTTTATCGTTAAGCTTGTCACTTGTTTCTGATTCTTGGGAAATCGGTTCATTTTCATCTTCATTAACAACATTATCATTAATGATTTCATCATTTTGAATGGTATCAGAACCTGAGCTCTTAAGTGATAAATCTTCTTGGCTATCATCCTCATTTATTGCAGTATTATTGTCTTCTTCTTCTTCTTCATGACCATTAGTAACACCATTAGTGAGCTTTGTGTTTGGTTCAGTTGAAAGCTCATTTTTTTCTTCCATTAGCTTCTCACCACGGACTCTGTTTTTGGACGTGTCTTTTGCGCTGTGAAGGACTATATCATCTTGGAATCTTTGCATCGGTTGAGGTGGGAATTTGTCTCTGAAAACAAACCCTTATTTTAGTTTTAAGTTTTGAACTTCAGTACCCGTTTTAAAATTGAACATAAACATATGAAGAGCATAATAATAGGAAGGGGTATTGTGAACGCATATAAGTGATTCTGCCAATATCTACGAGAAAAAAAAACGTTGACAAGCTCATTTTTTCCATACTCGTGTATCAGAATGCTTTATGTATTACAAGGGCATGCATGAAAACGGCATGAGGGTAGTTCGCGTAGCCACACAGAAGGACTATTTATATAATCCTTCAGCTATTGAATAATATATTATATTTATATAACATAAATTATTATTAAATTATATGTATATTATGTAAATAGGAACTGTAAGGTAAGCTTTTCCTCACATACATATGTATGGTTTTACACCAGCTTTATTTATATTACTCAATCTTGTTTGGTCCTGAACCCCTAATTGAAACACTTAAATCTCATGTCTTGGTGGGGACGTTCGCGTTGTAAATTCTTTGGCTTCAGATGGCACTTAGAGTTAATTGGATTCTCAGCTCATCGGCCCATCTTAGCAAAAACAATTAATTAAAAATAAAGTTTATTTGAAAAACTTTTCAATATTTGTAGTAAGAAATATTTAGATGAGATCTTCCATGAGATGAGATGAGATTTAGATGAGGTCTTTTGCGTTTTTTGTACTTATTAAATCCACTTATAAACCAATATGTACACAGGAACCTTAAATTCAAATAAATATTTTATCAAGAATTAAAATTACGCTCCTCAGCCTTCGGGTTCTTCATCTGTTTCTATTCATTTTTGGTGTATCACGGAAAACATCGTTCGAGTTAAGCACTTTAAATACGGTTAGAAATGCTTTTCTCGTTTTAGTCTGAAGCACAGAATGCTTTTTCAATGCAGCGAGACTTTGAAGTGGTGTATCGTAATTAATGTCACTTCTGCTATAATGTTTATGACCTAGCGACCTAGTCAAATAAAAATATCTACCAAAAAAATAGTATGTGACTACAGAAAAAGTTTAAGCACGGATTCCACACAGAAATAATTACCAGATGATCGACTCGAAAAGAACTGATCAGTCTTGAAAGGATAATAACGCTTCAAGTAACACTCGATTTTAATGAGGCTTTGTACATAATTTCTCTGTTCCAATAAAATTTGAAACCAAAATTACCAGTTGCCGGAATTAATTTGTTCATTTATTTTCAAACCTAATACGGACAGATCCCAACACATCTGAAGTTAAATAGGTATTCATAATCAGCATAGCGCGAGACAAAATATAGAAATGTCAATTCGAGGAGTAAATAAAATTTGCTTTGCTGCAAGAATAATCACGGTGATAGTAATCATCCGTACGAATTACGGATATTTCGTTGGGTAGATAGAATAGATCGTCTTCTCGCATAAAAACTACGGTATAATCTCAAAACATACTAATTTAATTTGCTTGTGGAGAGTATTAAACGGTAGGCAGCGGCTTGGCTCTGCCCCTGGCATTGCTGAAGTCCATGGGCGACGGTAACCACTCACCATCAGGTGGGCCGTATGCTCGTCTGCCTACAAGGGCAATAAAAAAATAAAAAAAAATTTAACAAGAGAGAGTTTTAAAGGTTTAACACGTAATATTATTAATATTAATCATATTTACAACTTTTTTTTTACTACTTACATTATATGTCTTTTAAAGTAACATAAAATGATGTATTAATTTTGTTTATAGTAGTCAAAACTTATATAAACAAAAAAAACAAAAACAAAAACTAAACTACGCTCTTTTGACAGTATTTATGACAAAAATACTGGTGATACCAAATGTTTACGCATATCAATTTCGAATATTTTTGGAAATTGTACACTTTTAATGCGCAAAGGCAAGATGAGAATACTACTATAACATAGCTACAGATGGATGACAGAGAAGTAGCAACAGTTGTGATAGAAAGCCCGTGTTGCGACCCGTATCTTCTAATCGACACCCGGATTTATTCGTTTAATATAATTAAGAGCCTTTGACGTCAAAACTGTTAACGATACAAATGGTTGTTAACAGTTTGTATACAATATTTTTCTTACAGTTACATTTTATGTATATGTATCCATACGCTCGCCATCGATATACGATAATGACGGAACTAACAAATGCCAACCAACAGTTAACATTTGATGACAGCCATCTGAAGATCGGCGTTTAAATGTAATTCAAGATTTACATGGTCGCTCTCAAGTCGCTTGAGCTCGAGCAATAGAATGATTTATAATTAACTAAGTGATAATCCATCTAACAATTATAAGGAATTGAACGCGAGGGTTAATAATGATGGAGGCGATAATATTTTTTCGGGCCACTAATCCCAATGGGGATCGACTGCTTGGGTAGGGAGTGATGGAGGTTTTAGTATGGTTGACATTGACATTTGCCAGACAACGAAAAAAAAGGCCATTGAAATAATTAATAATTATTAGCCTTATCCTTAAGCCAATAATTTCTAGCTCAGCGCGTGATTTTTTCAAACAGTGGCTCCGAAAACACTGAAATTTCAAACCTATAAAACGTTTGACGAAAGCACTGAGCACTGGCTTAAGGATTACTTATGTGCTAAACTTGTTCAAAAACTTACCTATGTTTCTCCTCATATTTGCTGGGCACCAAATAACAGTTCGATTCTCGGTAGATGATCTTTCGCTTGCTGACCCAGGGCCACTGAAGACTCCAGTATGAACTCTGGAAAATAATTAGACAGCGCTGCTGAGCTGATTAACTTTGTATTTTAGACGAGTTACTTTTAATGACTTACGCCTTGCCTCGAGGCTTACCAGGTGGCAAATGAAGCCCGTTTAAAACACATTACCACAGGTACAATACGTATTACAGTGCAGTCTCCCTTGAATTGAAATAACTAATGTATTTGTGTTTTTTAATGTATTTTCTTTGTGTGTACAATAAGTATAAATAAATAAAATAAATAAAAATAAAAACTAAGATATCCTTCAATTCTCTCCTTTATACTGGTGGTAGGACCTCTTCAGAGTCCACGCGGCTAGTTACCACCACCCTGCTCATTTCTGCCGTGAAGCAGTAATGCGTTTTGGTTTGAAGGATGGGGCAGCCGTTGTAACTATACCTGAGACCTTAAAACTTATGTCTCAAGGTGGGTGGCGCACTTACATTGTAGATGTCTATGGGCTAAAGTAACCACTTAACACCAGGTGGGCTGTGAGCTCGTCCACCCATCTAAGCAATAAAAAAATAAAAAATAAAAAGTAGAAGACACTTTTGGTTCATGAAAGAAACAAGCAAGGTAATAACAATTCATTCTACAAATACGTACATTGCTTTAAATTCATTAAACAAAATAGATATTGTTTTTAAATAAATTCAAATGTCTGTAATTTTATTTGATGACCATGAATTAATTATAAAATATATCAATACGTTTACAATCACTAGTATACCGTGAACCGTGACCCAAGTTCGATTCTCGATTAGATTTAGTTTCATTCTTGAAATTGTTGGCTATCTGAGTGTAATTCTGAGTGTCTATGAGCACTTAGTACCACTGAATACTTAGTACCAACGTGGTCGTCAGATCCCACCCATCTATATACGAAAAATACAGCACAAGGTCACCATTTATCTTAAAATGTTTCACAAAGTCTAAATCTAAATCACGAATACGAGCTAATTACATTACGTCAGATTTTAACACTCCTCGACCCTTCGTAATTACGAGGAGTTTTTGAATTAATTCCACATTAACGTTTTATTTGAAGACGTTAACAGATTTAATTTAATTTCTGGCTATTTTATTTCGATATTTATTGCTTCTGATTTCATCATCATCATCATCATCATCAACAGCCCACAGTCGTCCACTGCTGGACATAGGCCTCTCCCAATCCACACCACTGAGCCCGGTCTGCGACTCTCCTCATCCACTTCTTGCCGGCCACCGGGCGGAGGTCATCGCACCATCTAGCCAGGGGGCGTCCTACGTTCTGATTTAGCGATGTCGATTTTATGTTTGTCTTGGTATTTCAACATAAATAACGGTAGCATCAAAACATCAAAACACGGTTCTATATCAACTGTATTATGTAAAGGCTGACCCACGGTTCAAATCGGAACGCATTAATAGTCAGCGGGAAGTTGCATCTTGTTCCTGTGACCTTTGCGAGCCTTGATAAACAAAAGAAACCAACAACACTCACAACTCTAGCGTGCACCTGTCTCTTCCTTGCCTTCTCTTCTTCTCTGAGCCTTTCTTCTTCGCTATCGTAATCTTCCACCTGAAAAGAAAAAATATCAAGCATAAACAATATTTCTAAAAAACTGTTTGCCTGGGTTTTGGAGTCTAATATAATTCTGTAAAATATTCATGTAATTGTATTAAGAAAATTTCTCACTTAAGATGTCTAAGATTTTATAAATATATTTCGTATCTACAAATGAGATCATATACTTTTTCGGGAGAAAAAAAACGCCAGTTTTTGTCTCCGCGTTGTGAGTCAGTGAGCGCGGGACGCCAGAATTGGACCGACTAATGAAGAAGGCATTGCCAATCTGTAGTGCCGGGATAAACCACTGAGCTAGAACTAGCACGAGTTGTGATTTTAAAGTCCATCTGGAATCTGGAAAATGCTACACACATTTTGATGGAACACGAAAGATTCAAAAGTGCTGATTGTTTTGGGATTCTTTTGAAGATAAAAGTCGTCTAATCAATCACAAGAATACTAATGCTGAAAATTTTCACAACTACGAGTAATTCAAATTGTAAACAAGAAACATATAATTCTAATTATACATTCCTCCTTTATTCATTCACATCAATCATCCAAAGTCATTTGTCAGAACGTAATTACTACGAAAATAGAATATATACTATGTATTATTTAGTTTTGTGCTCCGAGAAGATTCTCGAGGGGATATATAATAACATAAATAATTACACACGCTAATAAACTGTGTGTCTGTAATTTAGATGTTAATTCGTTTCGCGTCTATGGTCTAATACGTAAGTCGGTGTACACGGATCGATTTGGTCGAGTATGTCAGAACTTGAAATATTGAATTTTTTAAAAGCGATTTGTCATGAATGCATTTTATTTATATCTGACATTACTGGTGGTAGGACCTCTTCCGCGCGGGTAGGTACCACCACCCTGTCTATTTCTGCCGTGAACCAGTAATGCGGTTTGAAGGGTGGGCAGCTGTTGTAACTATACTTGAGACCTTAGAACTTATATCTCAAGGTGGGTGGCGCATTTACGTTGTAGATGTCTATGGACTCCAGTAACCACTTTACACTAGGTGGGCTGTGAGCTCGTCTACCCATCTAAGCAAAAAAAAAAACTAACGCAGTGCTAAAACTAAACAAAAACATCTAAACTTATTAAGAGTTGTAAATTATATTAATGTTTTCTTCGAATGATTTCTATAAAGAATAAAGTTATATTATGTCAGTTGCTTGTCAACTTATTTGTTATCGGTTATTATAGTAAACGTTTTTGTAACTAGATCAAATTAGGAAACTTTAAGAAAACAATAACAGTAAATTTAACACGTAAAAATAACATTACATTACGATGAAATTGGTATTCGATAATAATGTATATCTACATTGCCTTTTTTCTCTTTGACATATGCTTTTAAGTCAGAGGCGTTACTTTTATTTTATACGCATGTTTTTGATCTACAAATATGCGAGCCTAGAAATTTACGCACTAGTTGATATCAGGCAAGTTGTTCAATTTGAAACCGTCAAACCAACACGCTGCCCTGACATGTTTCCAATGTTGTAAATTTGTTTTAACCCAATTTCGCTGACTTCTAAATAGGGGAGGTTCTCAATTCGTGTGTATTATTTTATGTTTTTTTTTTTATGATAACAAAACTCCGTTGTTTATGGACCCAGTTGGCAAATATATTTTTACTGACAACTTGATTCCACTTATTTTGATTTTAAAACCAATGTTATTCGGGTAAATAAAATTACAAATGATGCTTTTAGTGAATTTAATTAATGTGTTTTATGTGTAGTTGAAGTCCATTTTTGAAATCATAAAGACTTTTATAGTTAGTATTTCTGAAGGTTTTGAAATCGATACCAATATTATAAATGCGAAAGTAACTCTGTCTGTCTGTCGCGCTTTCACGCCAAAACTAAATTTGGTACACAGATACTGTAGAGCCTGAGAAAGGACACAGGCTTCATTTTAATGCGAAAAAATGGTTCTAAGGTTTGAAAAAAGGGATGACAAGTATTATGGAAGTATCGACATTTTTAGAGCTTAAAGCTTGAAACTAATTTTTTCGGATTTGGATTCGATATGACATTTAAAGTTTGTAAAAGTTTTACCCTCAAGGGTGTACAATAACAATAGGAAATAGGGGATGAAAGTTTGTATGGAAATATGTAAGGTTTATGTGTATGTTTTATAAGTTTGTGCATAAATGTAAATAAGTTATTTTTGTAATAGGAAGTTTTGTTTCCTGTGTTTATGTTCAAAAGTAAAATAAAGTGAAAATAATAATAGGCCTATTGTTAATGTCCCGTGTGGTCGCCCACACTCCGCGTGAAACGCGGCTCTGCTGCTCAGAGCTCAGCGGGCGCTCGCGGTGAGGGTCATCAGGGGGTACCGCACCATCTCTCAAGATGTGGCCTGCGCCCTCGCCGGATCCCTACCCTGGGACTTCGAGGACAAAATCCTGGCTGCGGTATATCAGCGTAGGACACAGGCCTAGAGTCGGGGACGGTCACCCGGCCCGTCAGCTGTCGGTTGGTGGAAGCGTGCTGCGCGTCATGTGGCGTACGCTAAGTGGAGGGAGCGATTGCTGAAGGAACTCGGCCAAACTTCGGCCACCCGCCGGCGCATTCTCGAGGCCCTGGTGCCCGTGCTGGAGGCATGGTCGGATCAGCGTCACAGCGTACTCTCCTTTCACCTTGCGCAGGTCCTCTCGGGACATGGCTGTTTCGGGAAGTACCTCTGGAAGGTCTGCAGGAGAGAGCCACATCCGGGTTGCCACCAGTGCGGGCATCCGGACGATGACGCGCAGCACGCGCTCGACACGTGCCCGCGTTGGGAGCACTCGCGGCGAGATCTCGTCGCGGTGCTCGGGAGAGACCTCTTCCTGCGGGCTGTCGTCGCCCGCATGTTAGAGGATCAGAGCTCGTGGGAGGGCATGGCCAGGTTTTGTGATCTGGTAATAGCGTCCCGTGAGGCTGAGGAGCGCGAACGGGAGTGGGATCCTTTTTCAGCACCTCAGCGCAGATGGCGGGGTGGGCGGCGCGGGCGCGCACTGCGGTACCGTAGGTCTGGTGTAGCCGGTGTGGTGGAGCTCGATGGGGTTTAGTCGGTAATTGGTTTTGCGGGGCGAGCGCCTCGCGCGCCTTTTGCAAGGCGTAGTCTCCTGCGAGGAATATGGGGAGGTGGAGAGCCTTGTGGCCCTCTTCGTGCCCCTCTTCCTCTCAGGAGGCGCCGGAGTTCGACATAACCCGGTCCGTTACCCCCGGACCGGGTATCCGTAAATGGATTCACCAGTGTTAAAAAAAAAACTGTTGGAGAACTGTTGGAGATTATCATTGTCTCCTTTTACCACCGCTCTGCCCGCCATCAGTGCATTTCCAGAGATATTTTCTACTACAGACACTTCGGTTTTGGAGTGTACTTTTGTCCACGGTGTCTCCTGAGCACTATGATAATGTTAAGTTATTCTTCAAGAGAGGTTTTCGAGAGATAGTCTATTATAGGCAGCGACTTGGCCATGCCCGTGGCATTGTTAATATCCACAGCGACAGTAACTACTCACCAGCTCGTCTGTCTACAAGGGCAACAAAACATAGGTAAAATACTACATATGACTGAGGTTATAATGGAACTACCAAGCCAGACGCTCCGGGAAAAATGTATATTGTATTGCTTTGTCAAATATTTGAGACCTCGTACTGAAAAGAGAAATTGGCTTTTTTGAAGTAAAAATTAAACGCCGTTTTTTTCATCCACATATTTGCTCAGAACCTTTTATTTGAACAATATTACTAAAGACGTAATAAATAAACGAGCCTCGTGTCTGTTTGTGTGTACAAACAGATACGTGTGTGTGTGTGTGTGTGGGTGTGTGTGTGTGTGTGTGCATACCTTTATTATCTCTCTAATGATGATTCATACTTAGTTTACCTTTTGTTCATATTAAATAAATACTCATTATTAACTGGTCGTATATACGACCCTATATAGGGGTATTTATTCTTAATGAAACTTTAATATAATGGCAATTTGGTCTTGATGCGTTCGGAACCTTCCAGCATTCCGAGAACAATGAGACAACATTGATTTCCAACCGTGAAAACCCGTGAACCTAATTTATGAGTTCATTACGATTTCTGTAGATGATCAGACAAATATATAATTTCAATATATAATCTCCGTAATTAGTGGTGGTAGGACCTCTTGTGAGTCCGCACGGGTAAGTACCACCACCCTGCCTATTTCTGCCATGAAGCAGTAATGCGTTTCGGTTTGAAGGGTGAGGCAGTCGTAACTATACTGAGACCTTAGAACTCATATCTCAAGGTAGGTGGCGGCATTTAGATTGTAGATGTCTATGGGTTTCGGTAACCACTTAACACCAGGTGGGCTGTGAGCTCGTCCACCCATCTAGGCATTAAAAAATAAAATAAAGTGCAGGTCTCGTAGAACGCTGACACCCGTCGCTAGTCGTGAGGTATAGTTTCTATTACGAACTCAGACACCTTTAGAAAACTTAGTATATAACTGCTCCGCGGCAGAGCTAGACAGCCTGCTACCTTATGTGCTAATGATACTGCTACGCCGGTAAAAGTAATGCCATCTATCGCCGAATAGTCGAACGAATATTGTAGGACCTAAGTACAACGCCATCTATTGTCAGATAGCGGGAAGTACTACTAGAGATGTGTGGAATATTCTCGATGATTCTAGGAATGAGGCATCAGCTATAAAAGCATTGTAGAGTTGTTGTAATCGGAACTACTCGAAGCAAAACAGCGAAGGATCACCTGAAGCGAAGCGGAACAAGCGAATTGAGAGTTTTTAAGTGTTTGTTGAGTATATTAAAGTGTTTGTGACGTGTTTAAGTGTTCTAAGTGTTGAATACAGTTTTAAGTTGTACTTTGGTGAAATTTTATTTATCCCGAACTTCAGCGCGTAACAATACGTCTTACCGCAAGTCGCACATTTCAAGTGACATTTACGATTTCTGCGGATCTGTTTTTAGTACATTATGCCATTATTCACCCTAGAAGTCGTTCTTAGACAAATGGTGGACACATGATTTAGCTAACATAAAAAGCTAAATAAACAGCCGTCGCACATATGATGTAGCAACATGCAAAAATCATTAACGTTTGCCAAGCTTAATACTCAATTAAACTTCATATTATTTGAAAGGCACAACGTCATATGACGTGCGGACAGCTTGGAGTGAGAATTTTAATTGGACAATAAAAATGTAAATTACGTTGTATGAATCGATTATAATATTCGTATTAGATGAAAAGAATGTGAGGCGAGTTTCTAAAAGCTTGATGATACGTACAATAGGATCCTCGTAGTAGTAGTAGGCATCTTCTAAATCATCTGGCCTGAAATTTGAAATATGTTTTAAAAACAGTAAAAAACTTAATATGCCACGGAATAGAAAAGTAGTTACTCCCTAGATAGTCCACAGGTACTGACTAACAAGGTAACAGCTCCGAGAATAGGTTTAAGACACCAGATACCTCAAGGGCTAAGTATCTGACTAGTTTGAAGGGTGGGGCAGCCGTCGTAACTATACTTGAGACCTTAGAACTTATATCTCAACGTGGGTGGCGCATTTACGTTGTAGGTGTCTATGGGCTCCAGTAACCACTTAACACCAGGTGGGCTGTGAGCTCGTCCACCCATCTAAGCAATAAAAAAAAAAACAAAAAAAGAATATAGTACTTAATTTAAATGATATTGTTTAATATTATCCCGTCATCTCACCGATTTAAATAAAAATTATACTTACGAGGTCACAGCTAGCTTGAGGTGAATTCCTGATTCGACAATGAGATCGTGCGCCTGCTGGATCGTGAGGGTCGAGGTGTCTATGTCGTTGATGCGGAGTAGCCTGTCTCCCGGCTTGATGCCAGCCTTTTCTGCTCGGCTGTTTGGCTTCACCTGGATCAGACGTTAATCAATAAAACAATATAATTTTGTATAAGCAGTACCCATTGGGAGAGTTTACGTAATAGCTATGAACTATTGAATAATGGTGTTTTACCGACAAACAATAAAATGAATGTGCAGAAGGTTGTTCTTGACAAAACTGTTCAAAGTATGAAATGAACTCCAGCTCTCCGTACTTCTTCACTATTATGAATTTGAATAAAAACTAAAAAAGACTGCCAGTATCAAATGGCAATAGCCAACCGTACTTATTCTATACTACTCTATACTAATATATAAATCTACAGTTGTTTTACGGATGTTCCGTTATAACTACTGAACCTTGCATCCGATTGACTTGAAACTTGGTATCCATGTAGAAAATACATGTAATTAATGGATAGGCTAATATTTATATGAGTGTTGAACTCCCTAATAATAATGACAATAAATAATTATGTTAATTTTAAATGCCCAGCGAAGCGGGCGAGTACGGCTAGTACCTCATAAGACTAGTATGCTTAACATAATGCTGGACCGCAGTTTGGTTCTAATTTCAAGAGATAAACTGACCAACAGCTACCACTGAGCATCGGGTAGACCATATGCTCGTCAGCCTCTTAATAACAGACTTAGGTTTTCTTAAGTGATTTTATAAAATGAAAGATTTGTAAAAAAAGATTGAGACTTTTTAAGACTTTTTAAATGAAAATTTCTCAACGCGAGTAATTATCCGTGTTTACTGGATACCATTAAATATTAATTATAAAGAACATTCCTATTTACACCCATTATCTTAGAATTATTATTTGAAGTTTTATTTACGTTAATTTCTAACTAAAGCATTAGTGCAAGCATTTATTCCAAAAGCATAAGAGAGTTAAGCTCTCTTATGCTTTTGCCAACAAGCAAGAATAAAGCAAGAATAAAGTAAAGTGCACCTTTTGTTCTCTTGTAGAATGCTATGGGCTCCAAAAGATTAATTGGTAAACCTAGAGGATAAATACTAATGAATATCTCTAATACAATAGTATACAATATAACGTCAGGGTCTCATTACCTAGAAGTGCAACGCGGGCCTCATTAAAAGAAAAACTATTTTTAAAACTTTCGTTGGCAATCAATCAAATTGCAACCTTTAGTCATTGCATTAAAAGTGAGTAGTCGTGAACACGTTTAATATGAAGAATAATGACTTTCAGATATCTTTGCAGTACGAGCCGGCTGATCTCACGCAGAATGCAAGTCAGACCGCTCCACAACCGCGATACATTTATAAAGGTTTTCCGGTTATTAAAAACGTGACATGGCGTGATATGCGCATCGCTTTGTAAGCAATGACTTGAACTGGTAATGAAGACAGTGGCACTTAAGACCAAATTAGCTGCTCTTAGTGTCGGTATAATGCTATACCGACACTAAGAGAGCCAATATGCATTCCCCATATGCAATATGCATTGGGAGTCAATACTTCCTAACTACACACGTGACGGAGCCTTTCATGAAATTATTCCTCGTACCTCAAGGCGGGTAGCCGCTTTCTCAATATTTATGGGCTCAGGTGGCCGCTTCACATAAGTTGGATGAGTTATGTCTCCCGATAACAATAAAATATATACTCACAAAAGTAACTCTAAGCGGTGTTCTGTAATATATCCCTCCAGCCAAATCAAAACCCCAAATGGTATCTTCAAAGCTGACTCTCTCGTGAATACCCTCATTTCTGGACTCCCATGAGGGCTTAGTCAGTTCTCCAGCAATGAGAGCCGCCTCCTCGGCCTTCAGTTTTGTATGCCGCATGGACACCGCCATGTCTGGTGGCATTACCCTGAAAAATAATCATTTTTTTAATCGTTGATCATAGTCAAAATGATCTTTGTGTTTGACAGTTCATTTCGTTTTGTATCTTAGAATCAACGGCCTAACAGCTTCGTGCCATTTGACGAAGTCATTAGAGCATTTTCATAAAGGAATTAATTCAGTGCCTGTACATAAAAGGACGAAGTAATTTCCTGAGTTTTTCCTTTGTTTATTTTGTCGTTTCTGTTTGGCAATAGCCTTTATGGAGCACGGGGCTAGATTGAGGGCGAGGCTACCTGTTTATTAACTTTTGTGTTTATTATGATTAAGGTCAGTATTTCTACTATTGGTCCTTTAGTCATCAAAGGATAATCAGCCGTAGTCTAAAGCATGTAAACATAATCTGATTGACTTTTGTTTGAAGACTTTCTGTTGAATAAAACAGAACCGTTTTGAGTCAAAACCACAGAAACATAGTTTTTCTTGCCGTCTCATTAGCATTTAGGTGGGAAGCTATTATGGTTACTTGGTCACTTTTTACTGTCCAAATTCATAGACACAATAAAGTGTGCAGTGGGCTTGTAATTAAGAGATGAATGTTGTATCTACTCTTAGAATGAAAACGTTTCTGCGGAGTAAAAGAATTGACGGTATGTTAGTATTAATCTATGAAAGACCAAAATGCACCTTGCCGATATTGTTATTACTAGCAAACGAAGCTCAACATATCTGATGTAGTCATTGCCGTAATGCACAGACACCTTGAGATCGAAGTCCTAATTTTATTATAATAACGTCTGGTCCCCAAAATTTAATGAACTACCAATTTGACATTACCTAGACAATTTGTTCAAAAGACTTTTGAAACCTTCATGTCTTTCTTGAAACTAAGAAGTCATCCAAGATCGGACGCTTCGCAAGTTAGATAAGAACTTAACCCAAATCCATAATAAGGTCGAAAACCCAATTCATGTTCCACTTCCGAACGCGTTTGACTACAAATACCTTGTTTTCGCCGTTAAAGCATGGTTTTATGGTTATTTACCGAGCTCTCCGACACAATGGAGGGATGTAAAAGGCACTGATGAGGATTTTTGTCCCTCCGTCACAACAATGGGCAGAAAATACAGAATTCTGACGTGTAGTGAGTAGAGCGAGAGGATACAATTGTGGTATTAATTGGTGGTCGCGTCTTCATGCTACTAACGCTAGTTTGTTGGTGAGTTCATGTTTTGGTTTATGCTTCTTTACTATTAATTCAATGGCCTACGATCCTAGACCAATCATTACCTATCCTTATCCTAGACCTAAATTGATGCTGGAGAGATGCTGGAGAGATTGCTGCGCTCAATACATGGATTTGTCTTGAAAGTCGAACGAGCACACATTCCAACTGATGGGAAGCGGATTCCGGCGCTCGCGGGTATCGATAACTCTAATTAATTGCTTAACTCTAACAGATAATGTTCATAATAGATATGAAAATGTTCATAAAATGTTCATAATAATATTATAAGATAATTTTCATATTATTGAAAGATTAAAATATAAAAACGTTACGGAGTCAAAAAGAGAGGGAGTTTATTCGGTTGTCAACTGATAATTGGCTGAAATTGATGTTTTTCCGGAAGATTAATGTGTATAAATGCGGCCATGTCCTATTTAAAACTATGTGTGAAGGACAACGGTACTGACGGTAAGGTGATTGAGCTGGTGTGTTCAAGCACAGCAATAACATACAAATTGATAGACATGATTTACCGAAACCTTCAAAATATACCGATACGACTGCCGATACGACCCGAACCTGCGGTTTGTTTTCTTAAGCACAGTAATGTTTTGAATAAATATTTGTTTTCTTGTTTTCTCAGGGCCAACAGCTAGTCGCGTTACTCCGTTAGATAACAATAACAACTGGTACATACTACTAAGATATAATACCTCACGACTTATCCTGATGGGCCACGAAACGAGCGAGGCTTGCTCGCAACTCAACGGAGCCCTCTTCGCATTTAAAAGATCTTATTTTCGACACTGAATTTGAGATGGTCACGTTCTGATATTGATACACAGCCAGAGTTTTATAGGGTTTATAGGGTTTTTGTAGGGTTTTATAATTTGAACGATTCATTGTATAGAAGCTTTTTTTACAACTTTGATGGTTGGATGAAAGTGGAAAGCCTGGTGTAAAGTGCTAACCGGATCCCATAGACATCTGTAACGTAAAAAATTAATGTCTAAGGCATCTAAGGTTTCAGTGTTTACAGTACAACGGCTGCCACACAGCCATGCCAATTTAAAATATTAAATTAATCATTTCCCGCTCCGCTTTTAATTCCGCTAGTTCTATAGCCAGCACCCAAACGTGTCAACAAAGCTGGTTTGTGTACAACCCCTGTACAAGACGTCAGAACCGACCCCATCTGACCCCCGTTGACCTTCCGGAAGTTTCCATACCCATATGTGTTATCAGGACAAGCGTCCGACACGTGTTCATTTTAATAAACTTGATACTTGATAATGAGTCGAGGCTCGGAGTGAATAAAGGACCTTGTGATGTGAGATTTGTCGCTGGCTTCTAGTTTTATAGTCATCTGTCATCACACGAGCGTTTTCTTATGGTAGGGCGTCTTGTGAACCCTCCTGTACGCCTAGGTACCACTATCCTGCGTATTTCTTATGTCTCTTAAGACCTATCTATAAAATCTATCTAGTCTATAAAAGCCAGAGTTTTAGCAGGTTAAATATAAGGTAAACAAATTTAAGCAGCTAAGCCCTTGCATTCCGTTTGATTTACATTGCACGCTCACAATATATTATGCAATGAATATTTAATTTTATCACTAGGAGTCACTGTCGATAGATCCGTTTCGAGCTTCAGACTATTTGAAAACTATTAACTCACTATCATTTAAACATCCAAACACCTTTTCCAAGTCAAAGAATACTTAATAATATCCCTCGTTCATTTTAGTCAGATGCGGCTGAACGTTTTGAGACGAAAGAAAAAGTCAGATAATGACTTCATTTAGATCAACTCTCACACAAAGAGGGGGACAAAATTGCCCGCCTTGAATGCCAAGCTCTTTAGGGTTGTTGGTGTATTCGATTGTGATACTGTGATTCGAAATGTGATACTGTGATTGAATGTTAGAGCGAAGATAACGCCGAATCCGACGGCTCTTCTAAGCTGATAAAAAACGTGCCTCCTGTATATCGTTTGGCACGTCTTCTATTGTCGTCTCACGGTTCCGTTTAATAACTTTATGTTACAATACGCCAATATCTGCCGAGAGCTAATGGAATGATTCACTACTTTCGAGTAAGCTCACTCATCGACCTTTTTTTTTTAAACCACGCCACGTTAACTGGTCCCGTGATAAGTTCGTAAAGAACTTGTGTTACAGGTACCAGATAACGGAAATAAATGTAAGATTTTTATTATACACATACATATATTTAATATACATCCATAACCCTGGAAAAGACATTTATATTTATCATACAAATATCTTCCTTTGGCGGGATTCGAACCCGCGACCCCCTTATATAGTGACCATGTCACTTACCACTACACCAGACGGCCGGCTTTGGCTGCTCAATTCGTCGAAATCAATCTTGTGTGTAGTTCAGAGCAAACAGATAGGTTACTCTCCAAGCCACAACCCATGATGCAAATAGATAGGCTGTTGATACCTACGCGTGAATTCTAAGCCATGTATTTAGTTATACATAACTTAGATTTTACGTTCCGTTTATATCAAAACACATTAAGTATTACATTAATACATGTATTAATTACAATTAATACATTAAGTACTTTTGAAGCGTTTTTTTTTATTGCTTAGATGGGTGGACGAGCTCACAGCCCACCTGGTGTTAAGTGGTTACATAGACATCTACAACGTAAATGCGCCACCCACCTTGAGATATAAGTTCTAAGGTCTCAGTATAGTTACAACGGCTGCCCCACCCTTCAAACCGAAACGCATTATTGCTTCACGGCAGAAATAGGCAGGGCGGCGGTACCTACCCGCGCGGGACTCACAAGAGGTCCTACCACTAGTAATTACGCAAATTATAATCTTGCGAGTTTGATTACACGATGTTATTCCTTCACCGTGGAAGTCAATCGTGAACATTTGTTGTGTACGTATTTCATTAGGAAAATTGGTATCCGCCTGGGATTTGAACACAGGTGCATCATTTAACACGAATGCATCGGACGTCTTATCCTTTAGGCCACGACGACTTTTGAAGCTTATAACAGAGAGCATCCGTGGCTTAAAAAGTAAGACGTGAGCTATTAGGATCGAGCGATGCGATCATGCGAGGTTTGTAATCCACACGCAAGTATTAAGCCGCTTTCAGACTACGCTATAATATAATAGCATATAGTATATAGCTCATAACACAACAATATCGCACACCATACATTGTTATGGACACGTTCACTCTGTACTGTACTATATACTATAGGCTAAGTTTTTTTTTTATTGCTTAGATGTGTGGACGAGCTCACAGCCCACCTGGTGTTAAGTGGTTACTGGAGCCCATAGACATCTACAACGTAAATGCGCCGCACACCTTGAGATATAGTTCTAAGGTCTCAGTATAGTTACAACGGCTGCCCCACCCTTCAAACCGAAACGCATTACTGCTTCACGGCAGAAATAGGCGGGGTGGTGGTACCTACTCGCGCAGACTCACAAGAGGTCCTACCACCAGTAAAATAGGCGGGGCGGTGGTACCTAAATAGGCGGGGCGGTGGTACCTAAAAGTATATAATATAATATACTATATGGCACTATAGTATAGCGTAGTCTGAAAGCAGCTTTAATTTTTCGTGGGAAATACATCTAACACGTGCTCACGAACGACTACCATCATGAAGGAATAGCAGCTTGTAATAAAAATGAATCCCGTAAATTTAATAATTAATGGTGACTGAGGATTTGCGTACTCGCATGGATAGTTACCGCCACCTGGATGTTTCCCCGGCCAAGCAGTCACATCAGTCCGTTATGAAGTGCGAGTCTTCTAGCCACTTAATACTGGAGGAGGACTGTGAGCTCGTTCAGAGGAATACAAAAGCACTTTCGCTTTCTGTTTTGTGTATGTATATGTACACAGTACTGGTGGTAGGACCTCTTGTGAGTCCGCGCGGGTGGGTACCCCCACCCTGCCTATTTCTGCCGTGAAGCAGTGATGCATTTCGGTTTGAAGGGTGGGGCAGCCGTTGTAACTATACTGAGACCTAAGAACTTATATCTCAAGGTGGGTGGCGCATTTACGTTGTAGATGTCTATGGGCTCCAGTCACCACTTAACACCAGGTGGGCTGTGAGCTCGTCCACCCATCTAAGCAATCAAAAAAACAAAGTATCCGAAACTCATAACGCCCTTTACCGAAGTCGGATAAAACAATTGATAACACTCTGTAAGCTAAGCTCAGTCAGCGTAACACAAAAAGCGACAAGTGAAAAGTCATTTATCACTCTAAATTAAAACAAAGAGAAATTAGCTTTAATATTTCATTAGTATTAATTATCTTAACTTTGGTACCGACTGTATCACTATGACTTTTACTAATTAATCTTCAATGTCTGTCTAAATTCAACAGTGACACGGCAAGGCGATCGTGGCCCGGCGGTACCATTTGTGCCTCTAAGTCACGGAGTTGCGGGCTCAACTCTGGACACGGTTTTAAATGTATAAAACTATTTTATGTATATTTTTTATAGCTTAGATGGGTGGACGAGCTCACAGCCCACCTGGTGTTAAGTGGTTACTGGAGCCTATAGACATCTACATCGTAAATGCGCCACCCACCTTGAGATATAAGTTCTAAGGTCTCAGTATAGATACAACGACTGCCCCACCCTTCAAACCGAAACACATTACTGCTTCACGGCAGAAATAGGCGGGATGGTGGTACCTACCCGCGCGGACTCACAAGAGTTCCTACCACCAGTAAAAAGTAGTATATATTTTATGTGGTATAGCTGTATTATGTAGAACTATTTTAGATATGTGGTCGAAGTCTCAGTTTTGTCGATGTAGCGGCCAGCTTCTGAAGCTAGAATGTAAAATGCTAGCCCGCGGGAAGAACACCACGCCTTACAGCATTTTAGTTGCTAATAGAAATTCCAATAATCAAATTTTAATAGACCTTGCCTTCAGGCAACTTCGATAAACTTTTCTCTGCTACATTTCCGAGGCACAACTTAAAAAAGCAGTTCGCACTATTTAACCGCACCGCCTCAAAGCCAGGCCACTGATCGACAAGTACGCGTTGTTCACAACTAACAAACAAAACGAATATCATTTAACACTCACATTTATCCTACTTACAACGAGGGCAGTACGTCTACACGTCCAATACTACAACACTGTGTGATGCCGCGGCTCCTACTAATATTGATTTAGAGTCGGGCATCTCATCAGCCAAAGATAATTATTGACAGTCATTTGGCGGGTTGTACTGTGTTTTTTAATCAATGGTTTATATCAACTTTATTTATTGATTATGAGCCAAAAGGTTTGCGGAGATGTGACAAACTTTTTTTTTTTTATTGATGCCCAAAACAAATTACAATCATTACAGTACATATTAGCTAAACCGTACAAGTACTACCTAGATCTAATCTGGATTGCAATCTAAATAGTATGCGCACTCAGCAAAACCATAATAATGTGCATAGCTTTGGCTATTGAAATCACAATTGAAATTACAAATATTAGTAACTAGCCATTGTTAAATAGGATATCCTTCACACATTTGACAAATCCCCTGAGTCTAGGTTCAAAGATATCAAGGTTACAGTGACATTTAGCCAAATCATTTTACTGCCTGACCATTCTTACCATAGGGTTATAGTATGATATATTATTTTTATATGTCCGTAACGCAAAGAGGTTTACTAAATGCGAATTCCGGGCTCTGAAGTGGGTGTTGATAGAAATATTCGACAGCAGATATAGACAGAAATAGTGCCATGGAATCTATATGGGAGTGTACAAATTTGTACAAAAATATTAAATCCATATACCTACGGCGAGCTTCCAGAGATTGGACATGAAACGTCTCACAAAATCACGTCTCATGGTGGCTATAAACAGCTGCTGTACCGGTTTGACAGTCAGAGGTAGAAGTCGAGCGACACGCCACGCTCCGGTGATATGAGGCCGGGCCCTTACTTAGTCAAAGCAGAATTGTCAGCCTTTAGCAATGTACATAAACGCATACATTCGCTTATTTCCTCATCCTCTGTTATAGTATTTGTATTATCAGTATACAAATACTAAAGTAGAACAAGATTGTGTTATTCAAAATGTAATTAATTTACTTCAAGCACAGAAATTTAACGACTAAACATTAGATTATTAAATCATATATACAACTTAAAGGAACCTACGTGTGGAATTTGTCTACATTTGAAATCATGGTTAAACTAAAAGGGATTTTCAATTCAACCCGTCACAATTACATGAATGGAAGCGTCGATTGAAAACAATTATACCTCCAAGGTTAAACCTTTGTGTCACACTCGATCAGATAATAATATGATTAAACGCAGGTAGATGTCGCGACATTTCTAAACACAAATAATCAATCGTGCATTCGTGTGTAGTGTTCACTCCGCACGCGTCATTAATGTGAGCTGAGCTTGCGGTATTGCCACTGCGACGGAACTCGAATTCCATAATTACTCATATTTTTATCGTGTCCACTGTCCTGTATACTAGCGACCCACCCTCGCTTCGCTTCGGAAATATTAAATTTTATTATTGATAGCTGAGTCTCGCAAAGCTACCCGCGGTTATTGTCGTACCGCGGGTGACGCCGCGGGACAAAGCTAGTCTAAGAAAAGTAGCCTAAGTTACTCCTTATATCACCAGCTACCTATCAGTAAAAGTCGCCTCAAAATCGGTCCAGCCGTTCCATAGACACACAAACACACAAACAGACAAACAAACAGACAAAAATTGTAAAAAATGTTATGTTGGTGTACGTACCGTATATATATTCATATGCATGTAATAAAAAGCGTTTATTTCAATATTACAAACAGACACTCTTTTTTTTTCGTACCTAAGCTGAGAGCCTTGAGAGGCTATTTCAGCGTGATCTTAACTAGTAGGTGAGCTCATGGGGCTCAAACCTGGCGACGTTGCTAACACAAACCGTAGCAAGAGTCGTGCTTCGCAGAATCTACCACCGGATTGAAAACGCGACCCACTGAGAAGATCCGGCGAGAAACTCAGTGGGCTGTGTCTGAGGGTTAATTTACGATGACCGGAGCTTGAGGTACCTAAAAGCACCGTTAGTGTATCGGGAGGATCCGAAATGACGTGTTTGGGGCGACATCGACTGCTTTCCATTCTGTCCGCAGGATCGGGAATTTAGTTACCGGCGGCCACGATGAGAGGGTTCTCGTGTCGTGCCGCTTTATCGAAGTGACACCCCAATTTTATTTATATGTATAGATAGCAGCCATACGGTTCAAATGGCCAGTAATACAGAACGGCAACTTCATAGGCACCTATTATTATATAAAAGTGTACGCGATTGAATCAGGCAATTACACGAACAAACCGATTTCTGAGCCACATGACATGTTCTTAAACCCAGTTTAAGTAGAGTTCTCATCAGTGAGCATCNTCGAAGTGACACCCCAATTTTATTTATATGTATAGATAGCAGCCATACGGTTCAAATGGCCAGTAATACAGAACGGCAACTTCATAGGCACCTATTATTATATAAAAGTGTACGCGATTGAATCAGGCAATTACACGAACAAACCGATTTCTGAGCCACATGACATGTTCTTAAACCCAGTTTAAGTAGAGTTCTCATCAGTGAGCATCAGATATGGACTAATGTTATCAGAAGATGTTAAACCAATATCTTAGCAAAGGCAGTATAGTATCAAACGAATCGGAAGCTCCTGTGTCGTTGCTCAATTGTTACTTAGTTTCAATGACCCGTAGGGAAACGCGTATCCCTAGTGAATAATAATGCGAAATTAATTTATGAACTGTGCAAACAGACTCAAACATAGAATATCGCGCACGTCATTCTCAACGGAAAACCCTCATCCTCCTCAAATTCATCATAAAATTTAATTACAACTTCTGTACGTAACGCTAATTGAAGCTGGCTGTTCGGTAACCAGGCTTCGCGGAATTAGAGCACCGACGTCGGATGTCATTACGGTTCAAATATGGGCTGGCGATGAACTCTTGTTTCATTCGAAGGCTAGGGGTGAACCAAGGGGTCCAAGTTTCACTCACATTGTATAACGACTATTCCACCGTCCATACCGGCAAGTATGATTGCATCGCGGCAACAATAGGCAGGACAGTGGCAACTACCCATGCGGGCCAAGAATATTCCTTCCTACCAATAAACATCAAGAAATACCAATAAAATCTAAGAAAATACTATAGCTCAAGGATTTTTTTTATTGCTTAGTTGGGTGGACAAGCTCACAGCCCACTTGTTGTTCAGTGGTTATTGCATCCCATAGACATCTACAACGTAAATGCGCCATCCACCTTGAGGTATAAGTTCTAAGGTATCAGTATAGTTACAACGGCCGCCCCACCCTTCATTACTAGTTCACGGCAGAAATAGACAGGGCGGTGGTACCTACCCGTGCGCACTGACAACAGGTCCTAAGAACCAGGTAAAGAACCAGGAAGCTCGCGTTTCGGCTCCACGTCTTCATATTACAATGTAAGGCCCTTAGGTCCGCATCTAAATATACAATTGAAATCTCAGGTCACCCCTAGCAAGTAACAAAACCGGCTCCACTGTTGTTGAGAAAAGTTTTGTTTAAACAATAATAGTCTAATAACTGTCTAAAGCACAATAGCTGCGGCTTGAGTGCTTCGCCGTGGAGGATAGAAGCACGTGCATAGGACCGCTTCAGCCACGGAATGCGAGTGGATTGAGAGAATATCACAGAGTAACGACCGCTCTATTCGCTGGGTTACATAATGTTACGATCATTATTTTGATTATGTAAGGTTAGTAAGTATAGTTAAACGCATTATCTATACATATAAATAAAGTTGGAGTGTCTGTTTGTAATACTGAAATAACCGCTTTTTACTACATGCGTATGAATACATATACGATACATACACCAAAATAACATTTTATACAATTTTTGTCTGTCTGTCTGTCTGTCTGTTCCGGCTAGTCTCTGGAACGGCTGGACCGATTTTGACGAAACTTTCACTGATAGGTAGCTGATGATATAAGGAGTAACTACTACTTTTTTTAGACTAGCTTCGCCCCGCGGCGTCACCCGCGGTATGAAAATAACCGCGGGTAACATCGCGGGACTCGGCTATGAATAATCAAATTTAATGTTTCCGAAGCGAAGCGAAGGCGGGTCGCTAGTTTACAATAAAATTTCAATTCAATAATTTCATGTCAGAAGATCGATAGATCATAAGAATTTTTTTATTGCCCTTGTAGACAGACGAGTATACGGCCCACCTGATGGTGAGTGGTTACCGTCGCCCGTGGACTTCAGCAATGCCAGGGGCAGATCCAAGCCCTGCCTACCGCTTAATACTCTCCACAAGCCTCATTTGAAGAAGGGCATGTCATAGCGCTCGGGAAACACTGNATAATTTCATGTCAGAAGATCGATAGATCATAAGAATTTTTTTATTGCCCTTGTAGACAGACGAGTATACGGCCCACCTGATGGTGAGTGGTTACCGTCGCCCGTGGACTTCAGCAATGCCAGGGGCAGATCCAAGCCCTGCCTACCGCTTAATACTCTCCACAAGCCTCATTTGAAGAAGGGCATGTCATAGCGCTCGAGAAATACCGTGGAGGGGAGCTTATCCCATATCCGGATGGTACGTGGCAAAAAAGATCTCTGGAAACAGACTGTGGTTGACTGCGGTGGCTCCAGGTAGTATGGATGAACTCTACTCCGGTGGCGGAAGGTGCGATGGTAAAAATGAGATGATGGTATCACCTCAGAGCACTCATGGAACATACGATACAAAATACAGAGGGAACCGAAGTCCCTCCGCAGACCCATAGGATCCAAACGATCCCTAGAAAATGGCCGCGATAACATTTGCTCTGTTAAATACACTGTCAAATGAGTAACGATTTTCCACTCTAAGTACACCTTTATCTGATATCACGTGGACGAGTCGAGTAATAATAACCTCGCTTTCCTTGTAAAGCTCACTAATCCATTCAAATATTTAATGTACTCGACCGACTTGACGAAAGTTCTAGAGCATTAACGGTACTTAGCGTACCAATGCATTTATGAAAACCTAATGAATTACATAACGTAGCATTTTTACGAGCTTGACACTTTTTTCATTTGCATAGTACCAGAAATAAACATCGGCGTATTTGTCAGG